AGAAAAGCCAAGTTAAAAACCACACACACACAACAGGGGTGGAAACTTCAAGTGCCTTTTTAAATGAGCTCTTTTTGATCGTCTGTCGATCTTTACTCAGCACTTTGATCGAAAAGAGACGCCGCGTCACACCCGGTCGCTTCATCCAGTACTGAGCCGTGAAATCACTTTTCTCTTTTCGCACTTCTGAACCTTTGTTCAAAACACTTAGTTGTGAAGAGTCACTAGCAGCAGATTCTAGCGGCGTGCTCACAACCAACTTGAATACTTAACTTAAATACCAAAATAAAGTCAGCGAAGCCACGTGTGACGCTTTCTTACTCGAGGATACCAAAGGGACAAATCAGACTCAGATCTACTGTTTCATAGATTTTTATAACTTGTGGAAACACAGAGGCCGACGTCTGCACTCGAAACGACAAGAGATGGACCAGAATGATTGTATTTGTTATTTCACGTCGAAGATCCAGCATCAAAAGTCCCTGATTTCTCTGAGGGTCGTGCAGCTGCATTCTGGGTAGTGTAGTAAATCACGGACTGCAGTATAAAACAGTGGAGGCAGATTGAGTTACGGTGTTTTATAGTTGCTTTGGCTCAGCTACGTGCACTTGCGTCATCTGCTGTTCTTAAAGACGCTTCGGTAAATCTTCTGAGAAGACCACGGAGGTTGTGTTGTTGTGTTCGAGACACAGATTTCAGTTTGGTATTTGAAAGTGAGAATGATGAAAACTGAGCCAAAGCAGTTGTGAGACAGTGGAAATTTAAATAAAACCAACACAAATCCCCAAATTGGCTCGATGTGGATTCTTTAATGAACTTCAACAGAAATAACTGAGCGTCTTTGCCATCGATTCGTGAATCATCACAAGTGGATGTTTCCTCATCAGAGGCTGAATATTTAAGACTCAGTACAACATGAAAGCGCTTCGTTCGGAGGTGTGTGATTTTTTCCCCGCAGCGCACCTCAACGTCCCCTCTCTTCTCGTCTCTCTCTGTTTCGCTCACAGAATATCCTGCATATAGAAATTTAAATATATATTGTTGCTTGCTTCTAGATTTAAAAAAAGACAAAGCCATTGTACTTTTTTTTTTTTCAAATTCAAGGCTCCAAAATGCAGTATCTTTGTGTACCTGTATATAAATATCTATATTTGTCTTCTTAATTTTTTCAAAATCCAATACGTCATATAATGTGTATTTTAACATCATATTGGCTTAACTTGACTCACAACTATCATGTTTTTGTACATTGTCTGCACAGCATATTCATATGTAATCTCTTGTTATGATGGTTTTCATTTTGTAACTCTTCAACTTGTTATATCTTGTGGATTTGCCTTCAATATTTTGCTTCTAACAGTGTATGAATGTTTGAGTCATGTTCATGCTCACCGTATTAAAGGTGATGTGATCACACGCTGCAGTTTCAACCACTTTTGTGTCACACGGGTTCAGAGGCGTTGTGTTCTGTGGTTTTGTCGTCTTGCCGATGCAGTATCGCAGGAACGCCTCGAGGAAAATTCACTGGCTGACTCTGAACTGAGCAGATATAGGTGGTTAGAGGTCAAAGGTCGGAGTATGTCTTGAACGCCTGGAGGGAAATTCAGTAAGTCTCACATTCACTTGCTCTCAAAGATGAACCGATGGGAATCTGGTGGTTGAAAGTCAGAGGTCAGGGTCACATACGTTCTATATTTTACTTTCTTCTTTTTATCTGCGCTTGTTTGTGTGTTCGTCAGCAGGATTATGTAAAAAACTACGGCCTGGATTTTCTCAAAACTGGTAAAAAACAAACATTTTATAACCTGTTGAGTCATAAATCACAACAAAAATCTCGTTTAATAGAAAAAAGTGAGCATGTCATTTTATTAAGTTGTAGCTGTAATAGCCTCCAGTGTCCACTAGATGCTGCTGTCAGTCTGGGACCAGTTAAACCTTTAATGGTTTTTAATTCAGAAACAAACTGGAGCACAAACGATTCAACGCTCTCGTCCTGTCTCACTGTGACACGTCACACAGAAAGTTCTGCTTCAGGTGAATAACCAGTTTGACTTTAATGACCGAGCCACTTTCAAAGAGATCGGTTTTACTGCATCTGTTAAATTCAGTCACAGGAATCTGGAGGTTTGACATTTCATTTGAAGAGATTCACGGACGAGTAGGTGAGAGCCATTTAAAATACTCCATTCCAAACAAAAGTACTGAATCATATTCTTACATAAGTGAAGAGAAAGTACTTTAAGTTGAAGTAAAAGTACTTAAATCTCTCCTTTGTCTAATACATTATCACTATAACTATAATTATAATATCTTAAAACTAATTTAACTACTTTAATAGTGAAATGGTTCCTAAGTACTCACTTTTAACTCGTTGTGCTTTATTTTGTATTGTTTTTCACTACTAAATATTAACCTGAGAGGTAACTCGTTACCTCAGCTCAGTTAATAATAATAATAATAATTATATATTATATATAATATAATATATAACAAGACAAAAGTACTTTAATAAAATAGAACACAAAAATTATTAAAGTTAAAAAAAGAAAAACTCAAGTCATTTCGTTCATTTAATTAAGATGTAAAAAAAGTTAATTGAATTTAAATTGAATTTATTTTACATGACCTTTGACCCCACTGCGCGCTCCCGCGGACAAATAAGTGCCATTGCGCGGGCAGGAGGCGCGCACTTGTTTGTGGGAGCGGAGAAGAGGAGAACCAGGGACAGAGAGGAGGAGGAGGAGGAGCCGGGGACAGAGAGGAGAGACTACCGGAGACATAGAGGAGGAGCACCGGGGACAGAGTGGTGAACGGACCGGGGAGAGGAGGAGGAGGAGCCGGAACACAGAGGAGGAGCACCGGGGGGATGAGTGTGAACTTCCCCGGGTCGACTCAGCGTCTCTCGGCGGTGAGCTCCCCCCCTGGACGCGCAGTGTGAGCCGGGCTTGGTTTCAGCGGAGCGTCCGGCGGGACTCGCCCGCGCCGCGGAGCGTCATGGACGGGATCACCTCGGCGGCGGTGACGCCGGGATGGAGCCGGAGCCGCTAGGAGCGCGACCTCACTGCGGAGCTGCCACATCTGTCTGGACCCGCCTGCACATCTGGATCCACCGAGCGGCTGCAGCATGTACGCTGGGAGGAAGAGAAGGAAACCCGCTCAGAAGGGGTGAGACCTGCTCCTGCACCCGATCCAGACACTTTGAAAACCACCTTTAAACATTTAATTTAACACTTCACACCGTTCTTCATCAGTTCTCCTGTCGATGCTTGTTTATGGATATTTAGACATGAATGCTCAACACGAGGAGCTGCAGCTGTGGACACATGGAAACAGACTAAATGTGAATATTCAGTTATTAAAGTCTGATTGTGCTGTGATTGACTGACTTTACTTTGAAAACAGTATCTATTGTAAATGGGCTGATGATGGACTTTCGAGTCTGATATCATCTGTTTCGTGTAAAATCAATAAATCTGACATCCTCCACAGCTGCAGTAAGAAATAGAGTCTTATAATATCGTGGGATTCTAATGTGTCCGCTCTGTGATGACTCTATAATGAAGTTTAAATCTCACAGTGTTCCCTTCACACCCAGAGTCAAACCGGCCCCTGCCGAAGGTGCCAAGTCCAACCCGTCCAAACGCCACCGTGACCGTCTGAACTCGGAGCTGGACCGGCTCGCCAGCCTGCTGCCGTTCCCCGAGGACGTCATATCCAGCCTGGACAAGCTGTCCATCCTGAGACTGAGCGTCAGCTTCCTCCGCACCAAGAGCTTCTTCTCAGGTGGGAGACACGGCTCCTGTCACACATCACAAACCTCAGTGTCTCACCTCACACCTCACACAGAACCCGAGGACACAGAGCAGGAAGGTTTCAGAGATCTCACCCTGACCCACTGCTTCATATCACGTGACTGAAGTCATCATTGAAAGACAAAATCATAAAATCCACTCAGATAAAACTGCAGCTTTCTTTTCCTTGTCTCGATATAAACGCTCCGTCAGATACTTGGACTGTCCATCAGCTGCGAGTCTGTGATTAACGCCACATCAGACTTGTGTCCCTCGCTGCAGAGAACCACCACATCCATCTCTTAAGTGCTTGAACCCTGGACGACTCTCTCCCCCCCCACATCTTATCATAACATCTTAATGCAACCTACCAACGTATTGTAGGTCAGCCCCTCTCGCCCGGGGCCATGAGGCGACACTTGTCCCAAAGTCTCAGCCGCACAGTAATGTAGGTCTGAGGAGACGGAGGCGGCGCAGAGGGGTGGAGGAGGAGGAGGAGGAGGAGGAGGAGGAGGAGATGAAAAGCTCCTGAGAATAAAAACACAAGGGGATAATCCACTCAGCCGGGAACGGGGGAGACAGGCACCCACTTTTTAACTTTTGGCTCCTGCGGCCATTTTCTGTATACATGGGTAACTCGTACAGACGTGGAGGGTTGAGAAGAATTATTTCATGTGAGGATGTTTTTCTCTGTCCGACAAACTGAACATCTTGTGTTGTTAAAATGATTCCTGATCTAATGGATAAAGAGAATAATCACTACACGGGGCCCTAGTTCTCCTCCTCTTCACACTTTGCACATTGAATGAAATAGAAAGAATGAAAAATGACAAACAGATTTAAGCTGCTTGACTTTGGGCTGAAGGACTCATCCACGACTTGGTGGTCAGGTCACAGGTTCCTGGACTTTCACGCAAAAAAACCTGCGGCTGAAATTGATTTTACAATATTTATACTGATTTTCTTTTCTTTGCCGTTTTATTTTTCTCACTGACCTCGTTTGCTTTGAGGTCATGAATCAATTACAGGCAACAGACGTTAAGTGAGCTTTGAACCGGACGTTCCTCTGCTTCACGAGGCAGCAGGAGAAAACTCCAGTTTCTGCAGAGGTCAAGTCTTTGTTGTTGGTCTGTGCTGCGTTCAGGTTACCTGGTAAAAAAACAAAACAACCCCTACAGTTGTCATCACATTTACTCCTCCGTCCTCGTCTCGACAAACTTTATTCGTATAGCAGATATTTGAATTTCATCCAGTGTGTGTGTGTGTGTGTGTGTGTGTGTCCCCACATCTGTCTCCATGTGAAGCCATCTGCCAAGTGCTCAGAGCAGATTAGTGTGTACTTATGTAACACAACAGCACTGTGTGTTCTATTGTTCTTTATCACCGTCACATGCTGCTTCCTTGTTGTTTATAGCCATGGAGACAATCTGTGTGTGTGTGTGTGTGTGTGTGTGTGTGTGTGTGTGTGTGTGTGTGTGTCCTCCCAAAAGTGAAGGCAAAATGTTCCTTTTACACCAAATGCTGTTTGGTGTTAAAATGAATCCATGCTTGAAAATAACAGTTTAGACCAAGATTATTTAAACAAAAATAAAATAAATATTGTAGATTTTAATGTTGAACACTCCCACAAACCCAGCGTTGTTCGCAGATAGCCCTCTGTTGTCATTCGGGGGGTGCTCTCTCCTCCTCGTCGGGCTTGAACCTTTGAAAAATTCATTTCGGTCACAAACCTTTTAAACTCGGAGGCGGCGGGGGAGCGAGATGCTGGATGAGACGGGTCACACTGACGAGACTGCGTCTTCGTGGGGAAAGAATAAAACTTTGCAGCACAGGTTGTGGTTGGAGACAAAGCTGCAGGGGCCTCGCTCCTTTGTCTCGTCTCTGTGTAACCCTCAGACGACTGAAGAGTGTCTGTTGTGATGTTTTTATCGTCTGTTGGTGTCCTCGTTGTCCTCCGTTGTGCCAACAGATGCCCCCCCTCCTCCTCTCCTGCGCCTTGGGGGGTTTTTTCTTGCCGGCGGCTCCTGGTCGTGACGTCAGGGCGCACAATACCTCCCCCCTCCGCCCTCCTATCTCTTAATTATTAATAGTCGACATGCTTGTTCTGCTCCTCTCTCGGCCCTGCAGCTTCCACTACACTGAGCTCTGACACCAACAGAGCTAACAGACCTGCGACACGGTGGAGAGTTTGATTTATTGCATTAACTGCACACAAAGCGTCATTTGTATTACTCCAGATTCTTTTTCATACGTTTTAAGGATGATTTTGTTCTGTCGTTCAGGTCGGCGGTGAAAAAGAAACGCGTGCAGTGATTACGTAACACAGATTGAGACATGAACAACATTTGTGTCATCAAAATATCTCAGCTTTGGATCCATGTCACGGTTTGTTTTTCCTGTAAAATTCCATATCAGCTGTTTATAATCAGGCGTCCATGACGGTGCCTGTGCTCTGTTTGTGTCCCAACGTCCCACAGACACTGGAGGATCTATTTATATGAGGGAATACATCAATTTGAAAAAGAGGAGAGAAGCTATGTACCGCGTTTATTTACAACCCAATTGCACCAAAGACATTCTCAATAATAACAGAGACACGATGGAGCTTTATTGATCCCTCTGGGGAATTTGGGTCAGGATCAGAAGAAGCAGTTAAACTGGTCAAACCTTCGGCCTCTGCATTGTCTGAGATTTCCTCTTCCATTAACGTCAGCACTGCTGCTTCAGAAAAGCTCTTTGTTTCGCTCAGACTCAACACACTCAAATAGATTTCTGTCCTCAGGGTCAGAGGCGCAGCGCTGGCCTCTCTGTTTTTGTCTTCGGGGCTCACGGAGAAGGCCCCTCGTTTTGTCAACCACAGTAACTGATAACAACCCTGGAACACATTATGTATTTTTATGTGTTTATTCGCTAAAGTAAAACATAAAAAATCTGCCTCCATGTATTTTTCTTTTCCTGCTCTGTCCCTTCTCTCACCTTTATGGGTGTTACTCCATCTTGTGTCCTGAAGTCCCCTCTGTGTCGCTCTCTATCTCTTTCTGGAGACGTGTTACTCCCTCTGGTCCCCTGAAAACACTCTCCCCCCACCTTCAATATGTTCGATTCAGTGCAGGATGCAACACACACGTCTCTGCAAATGGACCAGCGGTCAGTGGTATTTCACTGACATTAAATACTGCCACTCACTCCTCTGCTTCTGTTTCTGCAGTGGCGCTGATGAACCAGCTCTCCAATGGCAAGAACAAGCGCAGTGATCAAAATGAAGACGGCAAGACGACGGGTTCTGCTGACAGACACGTTCCAGAGGGGGAGCTGCTGCTGCAGGTTGGTGAGAACCAGTTCTCTGGAGCCAAACTCAAACGTTGTGCAGCTTGTGTGGGTGAAGTTTGTTACTGTCGGCTTTAGGAAGCCGTCAGAGAGGAAGCTGTTCTCCAGCCACCATGAGCCCTCTCGGCTCCGAGGCTCTCAGTGAGTCTGGCTTTTTTTTTTTTTTTTTTTTCATGCATCACGCTGAGAGTCTGCACACATCAAAAATACCAACAGGACCTGGGCTGCTTCAGGTCAGACGGAGGCCTCTGATGGAGGAGAGGCTGCTCTGCACAGCAGGACAGAGGCTGAAGTGGCTTGTTTGGTTTGACCTGCTGCAGAGACGTCTCTCCTTTTAGTCCAGGACCAGAGAGAGGAATGAGTTGACGAGTCCAAAGTAGAAAAACAAACGACTGCTGTTAATTGAATTGCTTTATATATATATATATTGTCCCTGAAACAATTAAAGATTTAAGCTTCTAAAAGGGACAAAAAGATGTAACCTCCGGTGAGTGACCACGCCCAGAACTGTCCAACACACACATCATGAACGCACACACACACACACACACACACACACACACACACACACAATGTGCAGAAGCATACGAGCTCTGTGTATAAATATTTACTGTAGATTCATCTGTCTGCAGAAAACACATCCCTCGCTCTCTCGCTCATGTTTGGTCAACCTCTCTCTCCTGGGACTGAGAGTGTGTGTGTCTGTGAGTGTGTGAGTGTGTGTGTGTGTGTGTGTGTGTGT